ACTCACTCCACTCCTCCCCCCACGTTATTTCCTTACTGTTCCTAAGCACAGACCTCCAAATACTACCCACATTAGTAGTATCCGCAGTCATCGAGTACACTTTCGTGATAGCATAGGTACTCTTGTTTTTTAGACCCCATCTATCCTTCCATACGGTCGGAAGGTGTTATACTGACTACTTTTTTGAATCGCATATTTTTGTTCAACTCTTCATAGTTATTCACTTCGATGTGCCTTTTACTACTTTGGTTTCATTAAGTTTTGGTCTGGCAGGCGTCAACTAACCTTAGTAGCACAATCCGTTTCGACTGTTCCCGAACACTTATAATTAGTCAGTAGAGGAATATCCTCCGCTCCTTTGTGATGTGCGCGCGTCTGTGAGTTTGAAGGACCTACTGGCGTGATAGTTAAATGGAAACCTTCTGTAATATTTAGCATGAGATCGGTCTATCAATCATCCTTATTCGCTGACGATTCGCTCACTTGCGGAAGAAACAAGTTAAGGCGGTTTGGGCGTTCGCTTAGAATATTAACTCTTCGTTCTATCCTGTCCGTATGTCCGAAATTGGTTGCGTTTAAGCATTTAATGTCAGCTTATATCAGTTTATTCTGCAGTGAAACTGGCCTCGTTTTTGTTTTTGCATCCACTTCACAACTGCCAAGCAGTTGTAGCTCATAGGATCGCCAGTGGGAGCAAGAGAAGGTGAATGACAGACTGCACTGGCTCCTTCTTAATGCACATTTACCGAAACATTTTCGGGATATAAATTCAGCGCATATTTCCCACTCGTAGATGGGCACTGGATGCCTAGAAAACCCTTTCGCACTACCGCATCTTCAGTGATCTTAACTCATTCTTATCGTTGAAACATGGCACAAGTCTAAAATGGTAGCGAGCCAACTGTCACTTTATCCACTGCATGCGCGGTTTGGGACGGCGCAAGTAGTCGACTTTTAGTCGAAATGGACGGAAAACCTGCCAAACAGTAAGGTTGACTCTTTGCTAATCACGTCGGGGTGATTCAAAGCGATACACAGGTTGAAGCTCCGTTGAAGTCGAATTTCTTCCTGTGACCAATGCTCGGATATAAGCCACCCGTTCTGATTACATGCTCTCTAATGCGCAGCGCTAGTTTTTTTCTTTCATAAGATATTCCCTCTGTTTTACGGGCTTAGTGATGTTGCGGTTAGAATGGTGGCTGTGCCCTAAGCGCAGCACTTCCAGAAGCCTGTTACACTTAGGAGAAAGGGAAAGTTACCAATAGGAGGCGTTCACTGACTACGCGCGGCTTGCTCTACGGACGCCTCTCCGCGAGTGTGATGTTGGA